GCACAGATATACAATTCAATGAATGAATCAACGGTACCAGTCATTTAGGTGTTTTGCTCAGTGTTCATTTAGTTCAACCATTATTATTGAATAAATTATTATGGATAAAGAAATTCCTAATTTAAGGAATTTAGATGTAGTAACAATTTAAATTTTTTAATTATAATGTAACCCAAAGATATTGGACGATGTATCCCAAAGATCAAAATGCTAAATAAAATGTTTGGTTATTCAACAGTTTGAAACAACAATCTGTTCCAAGCCACTGAAAATACAAACATTGCAATTTACAATATTTTCACTTAGCATTTTTTAGAATGATTTCCTCAAAACACCTCTATATTTAAAATTAAAAAAAAAAACTGTAAAACCATTTCGACTCCTTGAATAACAAGAACCAGTTTCGCTGGCCCACTGCTTCCCCATCCGCAAATTATGCTGTGCAACCGAATGCACCTTGCAAGGTGCATACGGTTGCAAAACGGCGCCGTTTTGGTTAAAAAAACGCGCGTCCCACTTAAAGAAGAAATCAGGTTCGATTCCCGGCAATAGCATTTTTATATATCCAGAAATTCATAACTATATAACCACAATTTCATAACTATATATCCACAATTTCATAACTATATATCCACAGTGAATGAATGAAGTAAAAATCCACAATGAATGAATGAAGTAAAAACCCACAATGAATGAACTAAATATCCACAATATATGATTGAACTAAATATCCACAATGAATGAACTAAATATCCATAAATTCATAACTATATAACCACAATTTCATAACTATATATCTACAATTTCATAACTATATATCCACAGTGAATGAATGAAGTAAAAATCCATAATGAATGAATGAATGAAGTAAAAATCCACAATGAATGAATGAATGAAGTAAAAATCCACAATGACTGAACTAAATATCCACAATATATGATTGAACTAAATATCCACAATGAATGAACTAAATATCCATAAATTCATAACTATATAACCACAATTTCATAACTATATATCCACAATTTCATAATTATATATCCACAATAATGCTATTGCTGAGAGTCGAACCTGATTTTTTTTTTTTAAGTGGAACACGCGTTTTTAATTAAAACGACGTCGTTTTGAACCGTATGCACCATGCGCATGGTACATTCGGTTGCACAGCATAACTATTGTTCCCCATCAACGGATGGGCAAGCTTAATTTTTAAATTGGAGCATTAAGGGTCTTTTTATAGGAGTCTCAAGACTCCCATGCCACTTTTCTCACTAATGTGGGAAAAGTGGTAAAACTAAGGGAAGTCGAACGTTCGGCTCCCCACATGTTTTATTTTATTTTTATTTTTTTTAAAATTTTATTTCTTTTATTAAATTATTATTATTATTTTTTATTTTTTAAAACTATAATAATAATAATAATAATAATAATAATAATAATAATTATTATTATTATTAAATATATTTATACCCTTAAGTCATTTTACATGTTAATCTAAATAGCTATTTTTTTTCTAATGTCTTTTTACCAACCGTCGATATAATTCGCTGGTCAAATCCGCTAATATAATTCACTAACTATTGGCTTAATTATATATTTTTTAAATTTTTTCATGGTATTAATAAAATACTTGGTAAATAAATATATACCATTATTTTGTATTATAACTTTGATATTTAATTAAGCAATAGCGCACCAAAAATATAATAGACAATGTAGTGAATATAATCAATTGATGAATTTTAATGTAAAGAATTTTTACATTGGTGAAAAATAAAGACAATATAACTAATGAAATTATTTCTCTTAATTAATTTATTGATAATGAATAATTTTTTTTTTTGAATAAAGACAATTTAGGGACATTGTAGTGAATATAATCAATTGATGAATTTGAATGTAAAGAATTTTTATATTGGATAAAAATAAAAATAATATAACTAATGAAATTATTTCTCTTATTTAATTTATTAATAATGACTATTTTTTTTTTTTTTGAATAAAGGCATTGTAGACACATAATTCTAAATTAAAGAAATACATATTTATTATTTTTTGTTATAGCTACTAAATTATTATTTGATTTAGTAAGAGTAAAATAGAGTACATATTATGCCAACTTTGATTGGGATGGGGTTCGAACCTAAGACTTTTCTTATTGAAATTAATAAGTAAGTTAGTGGTGAACTACCAGAAATTAACAGAGAAGATAACGGATAATCATATAATTAAAGATAAATTAGGAAATCTCAAAGAAAAATTAAAATCTAATCAATCTGAGCCATTCATTTGATTAAAAAAATTTGAACGTCATTTTTTTCTACTCATTATAGGCCTAACTCTCTTTCGCTCTTATTTGTATAGTATAGTAGATAGTAGATATACTTCTCTACATGAATATATATGCTAAGTCATTATTAACTAAAGAGTTATACTATACAAACTCCCATATTCTACTCCCTTACTTGTACTCCTGAGGTGGCAAACAAGGATTGGATAATTTTCATCATGTGAGTCCACAGAAAAGTGTCTATATCAAAAACATGTAAGAAGGAGTAAAAATTGAGAGTATAAAATAATGGGAGAACACTAAGTATTTTCCTTAACTAAATATACTTACATTATAATTTTAGCATACCTTTCTTTGAAGAAAAAAAAAATATTGGTTTGTAATTACTTATCAACTTATATTCTTTTTTTTTGAAGGTCAATCTTGCGATTGTATTAATGAATCAAAGTCGAAATAGCGTCAGGTGGGATAGCATCCCAGTACATAACTTGATCCTGTGTAAATGCTAACGTAGCTAAAGTATGCGCATGTAAATTAACCTGTCTAGAGATGTAATCCAAAGTAATACGATTAAATAAAGACATAAACGTTCTGCACTGGTCAATTGTGACCCCAACGTACGAATGGATCGGCGTGTGATGGCGTCGAATAATCGTAGCCAATTCCATGCAATCTGTGAGTAAACCTACTGATGTGTTGCTTCGTTCAAGTAGCTAGGATAGTGCTTCCTTGTATGCCTGGGCCTCCGCCATAAGTGGTGAAAAACAAACCGGTAACTTGTTATTCCTTGCTGCCACAAAAGAGCCATCTGGCGCTATTATTATCATGCCGTACGTAGCCTCGCCCGTGTCGTGCCTGAAACCCGCGTCTACATAACACCGTAGACTGCCCTCCCCTGAACCGTTTAAGTGCTCCGATGCTGCTGCCAGCTCGGTTCGGCGGACATGGGCAGCGCCGTATACCTGTAGTGCTACAGTGGCTGCTCTGGCTAATTGGGCAGGCCGCATCATTGATCCCTTCCAGACAGCTGAATTCCGAGTTCTCCAAATATAATATAATATTGCTACCATTAACCGGGTCTGCTCCTCCGTTAAGACCGACATAGCCCCTTTTAGCCATGTTGTAAAAGAGTCTGCAATAATATTAATAACAGGCAATTGTGTTATATTCCAAACAAGTCTAGAATATTCACAGAGTACTAAAGCATGTAACACATCTTCATGATCTAAACCACACATTGGGCATGTTGGTTCCACCTCCACCCTTTTAAATATCAAGTTTAGGGTTGTTGGCAAAATGTCACATATGGCTCTCCACAAGAAAGTTTTCCACTTGGGGGGGACTTTTATTTTCCACATTGCAATCCATTTATCAAAATCCGCTGGATTATTCTCATAATCACCCACAATATGCCTATAGGCATTCTTTACTGTATATATCCCCTTGGGGTCACTCATCCAATACCATGAGTCCTCATACTCAGGACTCACAGGGATCATATTTATTCACTCCACATCTTCAGGAATAAATAAGTCAGACAAAATATGTGGATCCCAGGTATGAGTCTGTAAATCAATTAATCCTGCAACTCGCGCTTCTCTCAATTGCTGTGGCATTTCTGTTTGAATCAATGGGCTAGGATTATCTCGTAACCACGGATGTCCCCATATTAAAGTTGTCTGCCCATTCCCAATTCTCCTTCGCACCCCTGAGACTACCATTGCATGAGTTGCCATTATACTTCTCCAACAGTAACTTGGGCAATTACCAATAGTTGCATCTGTAAAACTGGTTGTGGGATAATACCTTGCCTTATAAACTTTAGCCACAAGTGATTCTGGGTCCGTTAAAAAACGCCATGCCTGTTTACCCAGCATAGCTAGATTAAAAGCCCTTAGTTTTTTAAAACCCATACCACCATACTTCTTTGGTATGCACAACCTGTCCCATGCCTTCCAATGTATTCCCCTTTCTCTTCCATTCCCCCACCAATATTTATTCATAGTTCGCTCAATTGACTGACAAACTGTCTCAGGTAACAGGAAAACACTCATCGAATAGGTAGGCATAGATTGCGCTACACTTTTCAATAACACTTCCTTACCAGCCTGAGAAAGTAACTTTTTACTCCACGAGCCAATTCGTTGCCTGATCTTTTCCTCCACATACGAAAAAACAGCTCTCTTATTTCTCCCTACAAAGGAAGGTAGGCCCAAATATTTTTCAAAATTGGGTGCTTGCACCACCCCCAGACAATCCGCTATCTGCACCCTGTCAGCCTCCTGGGTATTTCTGCTAAAACATATATTAGATTTATTATAATTCACCACCTGGCCTGACAATTTCTCATACCTTTCAAGGCACTGCCTTATAACTCCCGTCTCGTGGATATTTGCTTTAAAAAATATGAGACTATCATCCGCAAAAAATAGGTGCGATACAGGTGGCGCCCCCCTTGCAACTCTGCACCCATGTATTGAGCCTGCCAACTGTTCATACTGTAATATCATCGAGAGAGCCTCTGCACAAATAATAAATAAATACGGGGAGAGAGGGTCTCCCTGCCTGAGTCCCCTGGTTGGTTTTACATGCCCCCTGCTATACCATTGACCATTACAGTATAATTAACAGTCGTTACACACAGCATAATGAGCTTTATCCACTTCTCACTAAAACCCATAACAGTCAGCATCTTTTCAAGAAAATTCCACTACATTCTGTCATAGGCTTTTGACATATCTAACTTCAAAGCACTCCACCCCACTCTACCACACTGCTTTCTATTCAGATAATGCCCCACCTCTGCTACTACTAGAATGTTGTCAGTGATTAGCCTTCCCGGGATAAAAGCACTCTGGGATTCTGATATTAATCCTCCCATTAGTGTTTTCATCCTATTTGCTATCATCTTGGCCATAACTCTGTAAATGACATTACTTAACGCAATCGGCCTTAAATCTGCAACTGTCTCAGGCATCTCTTTCTTCGGTATCAAAACAATGTTAGTATCATTCAATCCCTCGGGGAATACACAGGAATTCAAAGCATTCGTTATAAAGCCAGATACATCTCCTCCCACTATCTCCCAAAACTGCTGGTAAAAACCCGGGTTTAACCCATCCGGACCAGGTGCCTTATCCGGATACATTGCAAAGAGAGCCTCTTTAACCTCATTATTTTCAAAAGGGCGGTTAAGCATCACATTCTGTTCTAACGTTACTCGTGGGGCTAGGACCCCAAAAAGTGGATCATCACAACTCAATCCACTAGAGGCAAAAATATTATCAAAGTAATTTTGTATAGCTGCATGCATATCATCCCCCTCCACCCAATTACCAGCATCACATTTAATACTAGAAATAAAATTCTTTTTCCTACGTGCAGAGGCATACCTGTGATAAAATTTTGTATTCGCATCAGCCCCGCGTAGCCCGTGCTGCTTAGCTCGCTGCCTCCAGAACACATCCTCCTGGGCCTCGATTCGTTTCAGGGAATTCTCAATCTGTTGGTACTCAGCTAGCGCTACCAAATCTCGCCTATTTTGTATGGCATCCTGCCTTTGCTGTAGCTGGTTAATTCGTTTCCCGAATTTATGAAACTGGTCTCCCCCCACCGCATTAATTTTTCTCCACACAACTGCTGGCAATGCAGCAATCCCTCCGTCTTCCCCTCCTGCCAGGCTGTTTCTACTACCTCTTTGCACCCCTCATCTAATAGCCAAGCCATTTCAAACCTGAATCTCCGCGGCCCCCTTCCCCTCGGCATGCAGATCGCATTAATACTGAGGAAAAGGATCGAGTGGTCCGAGGCCCGGGTTCGAATATTCTCAAACCATGCATTCTCATTGAGCAGACCCCAATCATTCATTATTAAAGCCTTATCCAACCTTTCCTCTATCCAATTCGGCGTCCCCTTTCCCTTCTGCCACGTAAACTGGTGGCCTCTCATTGGCATTTGCATCAAACCACAGTCATCCACAGCATCTCCGAAACCCCGTAACAGACTATTAGGATACGGATTTCCCCCCTTCTTCTCGTGCTGATATAGCAGATTACTAAAGTCTCCTATCACCACCCAGGGCAATAAGGATCTAGTCTTCAGAGTACCAAGCAAATCCCATGTCTCCTCCCGCCTACCACGCTCAGGGATACCATAGATACATGTCATGCGCCATAACTTATTAAACAAGCTTACTTCCACATCAATATGACTCTGCGAGTAAGTTAAAAGCCTCACCGTATTATTCTTCTTCCATAAAAGCGCCATTCCTCCACTCAAACCATCGTTATCAATATAAAACAAACCTTCATACCCAAGCGTAACCCGGATCCGTTCTGCATGTATCCGTGGTACCTTGGTCTCCATCAAGAACACAAAATCCGGCTTCTTACTGGACGCTAGGCCCACGATCTGTCGAACTGTGCGTGGATTGCCCAAGCCACGACAGTTCCAGCTCAAAGTACTCATGATGATGGGCGGGGCTGAACACCAGCTCCCACCATGGACAAGTTTTTTGAAACAGCCGCAATTGTTACCTCATCGTTTCCACTATCTTCTCCCCCCTCCGTCCCATGCCTACGACGCTTTGCCGTAGCCACCACCACCTCATCCTCAGACATACTCGTGGGTGTGACACCCCCACTTCCCTGTCCCCCATCTGCCACACGTAGCTTGACTCCCAGTGGTCGTGGTTTCCCGCCAACCGGAACAAGCCAGCTATCCCCAACCGCTCTAGGAGCGCTCCGGGATCCACCAGCTCGCATATCCGGGCCGTACAGGTACCTTTCTACCGGAATTGTAGCCTCCCTAGCGTGTATGCAGAAAGTATGCAAGTGACCCATACAACCACAAAAGTAGCAAAACTTATGCAGCCGTTCATATCTAAAATTTACCCATGCTGTAGTCCCATCTCTCTTCATCAACCTCATCCTTCTTCTAAGTGGCTTATCAACCGAGAGCGACACCCGAATACGGTGAAACGTTAGCCATGGCGCCCCTTCAAATCGGTCATCATGTTTAACAAAAGAGCCCAAAAAATTCCCTGCCTGTTCCAGAATTGCATGCGACGTGTATCCCTTTGGCATATCATGCAACTGTACCCACATGTCAATCATATCCAACTCTACATCCACAGGATTTACCCCATCCAACACCTCTCGACACACAAGAGAATTATTCTCAAAAGCCCAGGGTCCCCCATTCAGCACGTATTCCATATCCGTCTTATGGAAAAACACAAATAAGAACAAACCCCTTTGAATCTCCGTTACCTGTACTCCACGTACCGGTTGCCAAACAGACGCCAGAACCTGCCTCATAAAGTCTAGTTTTATCATCTTCTGCGTCAAAAACCGCCCGACAATCCTCCAAGTCTCCTCCTCCTCCTCCCCATCACCCTCTACCACCGCATCCCCACCTTCTGGCATAAACACCGCCCCCTCCTCCTCCATCAACGCCATCTCCGCCCATCTATCCGTCAACTCCGCCACACCCCCCTCTACCCCTTGCTGGCGTGTAATTCCCCCCTCCCCCCTCCCATGCCGATCCATACTTCCTCTATTCCCTCCTCTACCCATACTGCCTACATCCCCTCCATTCAAACTGCCCACGCCACCCCCATGCACACCGCCTAGACCACCTGCCAACTGCCCTCCCCCACGCCTTAAGCCACTGCCACGTTCCACCCTCCCTCCACCTTCTCGTAATTCTCCTGTCGGCTGGGACCTTTCATTCAGACCAAAATCCCTTACTTCTTGCGCCCAGCCAGCAGTTCGCCGATCCTCCATGTTCCGACGCAAATCAACATCTTTCGACAAACCTCTATCACGCGTGTGTTCCATCTCGGCCAGCCTCTCATCACGTTGGTTGACCTCGCCATCCATAACAACATCATCGGCCATCTCTCAGGGAGGAAAAGAACAAAATTTGTCTGAAAACCTAGGAAAACCCTAGTAGGTCTGCAAAAACCCTAGAGAGAATCTAGAGAGAGAAATTTCGTAAATCTATTACAAATCAACTATCAACTTATATTCTAAATCTCGATAAATTATAAATATAGATATTCAATTTTGGAAAAAAAAAAAAAAAAAGCCAAGTATATTGTGTAGTTTAATGTTATCATTGTTACTTTCTCTAAGAAAGGGTATTGATCTAAGCTAAGTTCTATCAATAGTTATTGTATGGACGGTTTAAAAACGACGTCATTTTGTTTAATTTTATTTTTTCGAACGCCTAAGTGCAACATACATTTTTATAACTCATAATGTACATTATCCTAAGGCATAATGTACATTATTTTAAAACATAATGTACACTATTCTAAAGCATAAATAATGTACATTATATTACCCCATATGTTTCATTATTCTAACACATAATGTACATTATTTTTAACACATAATGTACATTATTCTAACACTTAATATACATTATTCTAATACATAATGTATATCATTCTAACACATAAAATATATTATTTTTACTCATAATATTCATGACGATATTTTGGATCATGGTCCACACAGCTCAGATAGATGTGTGGACCGTAATTTGCCAAGTTCTATATGTACTGCGCCAACTTGAAACCTTCTTTATAGAAAATAATAAGTCATCAAGTGACAAAGTATTTAGCACTTACTTTTTACTTGAATAAACTTTATGATGAGTGGCTGAAAATTTAGGCAGCAATGGTTAACTTAATAGGTAATGATAAGCATGTCTAACGGAGTTTGTTAGGAATTAGGCATATATGTGAGCATGACGACACTTTTCTATCTATTCATCTATGCATTATTGTCAATTTTTATGTATTTTTTTTTTTTGAATGCCAATTTTTATGTATTTAATTTAGTAAATCCATCATTATGTTTCTAACTTCGACCACACAAATATATTAAATCAAACATTGTTTTACCTTCCCGAGATGAGTGATCAAATAAGTAAAATATGACTTCTGTATCAAAAAGTTACGCCATCTTGATGCACCGCACACTGCATAAACCAAATCTTAAAGTTTTAATATTACAATGCATAAACCTTCATCAAACTATGCATGTGTATTTATATATTTATTTATTTATTTATTATGATTTAAAAAAAAAATTGGGGTACAAGAGATTGAAAAATAAAATCATTGATTACATTCTCTTCGAATTTTATCGTCATCTTCATCTCTATCGAATTTGAGTAAAATTATCATATAAGCTCACACTTTACTACATGACTTGAAAGTGGCAAGTCAATGCGAAACGTAGCGTTTACCTATTGAACGTGTTGAGTTAGGACTTCCCTCCTATGTAAAAAATAACTCATGTTTGGACCAAGTCTTTTTGCATCTACTATATATTTTTATTGGACCTCCACTCATCTTTAGCCCTAATTAATAATAATAATAATATAATTAGGGATTATGAAGAGTTGGAAACAAAGAGACATCAATTTTTGGCATCTTGTGACTTTTCATTTACTTCATTCCCTATAAATATGCTTAGGGATTTTGGATGCAAGATGACTAGCGAGGAGGAGAGTAGAGAGTAGTGAAACAAAGCCAAGTTTCTTTTACTTCTTTTTGTCTCCTTGGCCAATCCAGTGAGGACATTCTCCACTATTTTTTGCGACACGACGACATTGTGTTCGACGGGTTTTGTCGCACGTTTGATGGATTTGTCGTAAGGTTTGCCAAGATTCTTGGGTGGTATCTTATCAAATACTTTGGAGGGGTCTGCAGCTTGTTTGTTTCAGACATCTTTTGGATAATGTAGTATTTATATTCTTTTTCACCTTGCTCGTGGTGGTTGAATATTTTAAGTACGAGTTGATATCCTTTTTAGGTCTGTGGAACATTATAGAAGTCTTTGACGTAGAGTTGATGATCTTTGGCTCGTGTGGTAGCCAGAAACTTTGTACCCACAATTTGTTATAGTGAAAACTTTGTTGGTGGTGGTTCGTGATTTTGGGATTTTCCACATAAATCATGTGTTTGTGTTGACATTTATTTTGAGTTATTGTGTTATCTCGTATTTGTGCATCGTGTAAATTTTATGATTTTTCATTATCACAGGAAATAAAAATTTTTCCAACGACTAGGACATTTGTCAAATGGATGAAAGGGCCATTAAACCCTTGCAACAATATAATGGATCCAATATTCTAAAAGCATGTCGACAAAGACATGAGACATTTTGTGGAGACGAGCATCACCCGCACTTGCATATAGAGCAAAACATGAAAATAGATTGGCAGGCCAGCCTTGCTATACGAAATGACCATGAGTTTAAGATTATAGAGTTTCTTTGTCCCTTTTCAAAGAATTCGATCTTGACCATGACAGAATTAATATTTATCAAGTAGCTTCTAGTTCAATAACATTTTTGTAGCTCTTTCAAATAAAAGATCATAGATTCGAATTTTAATTAAGGTATTGAATCTTTTCGTCGATATTATATCGTGATAGGGTCAGAGGAAAATATTTGTCATCACACACATTAAGGACAATCGTTATACCGTGCACCACAGCGCACATAGCACTGTGCGCCCCGCGCCTCCCAAAACAACATCGTTTTGTTAAGTTGTTAAAAAAAAATCTTCTGTTTCGAATGCACATAAACTCATAACAGAATACACATAAACTCATAACAGGATACAAATAATCTAACATAATACATAATACACATAAACTTTTAACTGAATACACATAATGGGGCTTGGTTAACATAATACACACAAACTCTTAACTGAATACACATAAACTCATAACACAACACACATAAATGTTTAACTGAATACACATAATGAGGTTTGGTTAACATAATACACATAAACTCTTAAGTCTTAACTGAATACACATACAATCATTATTGTGTGGACCATATTTTATATACTATAAAATAATGTACATTCAGTACAAAAATAATATACATTCAGCACAAAAATAATGTACATTATATTAAGGGGATGTACATTATTTTCGTACTGAGTGTACATTATATTGTATAATGTACATTTAGTATAAAAATAATGTACATTTAGTATATTAAAAATGTACTTTTTGTTATGGTCCACATAACACTGTGTGGACCATGGTCCACACAATAATTTGCTATACACATAAACTCATAACACAATACACATAAATTTTTAACTGAATACACATAATGAAATTTGATATGTTCGGACGGACAGAGTGACGTCAGCATGAAACGCGTGCGTTTTATGTCTGGACACATATTGCTATGTGCTTCGTGGTAAGGACACCTTGAATAATTTAT